TTCCTTTCTAAAATATTATAGAAAATTAAGTCAAATTTGTAAGAATACAAGTCATTCTCCAATTTGATAAATGGTCAAAGGATATGAGTAGGCAGTTTTCAGATGAAGAAATTAAAGTCATCTATAGTCATATGAAAAAATGCTCTAAATCACTATTGAGTAGAGAAATGCAAATCAAAATAACTCTGAAGTACCACACCACACTTATCAGATTGGCCAACATAACAAAACAGGAAAATGATAAATGTTGGAGAAGATGTGGGAAAATTGGAACACTAATGCATTGCTGGTGGGGTTGTGAAATGATCCAACCATTTTGGAGAGCAGTTTGGAACTATGCCCAAAGGACTTTAAAAATGTGCATTCCCTTTGACCCAGCAATAGCACTTCTAGGGCTGTATCCCAAAGAGATCATAAAAATGGGAAAAGGACCCACATGTACAAAAATATTTATAGCAGCTCTTATTGTGATGGCAAAGAATTAGAAATCGAGAGGATGCCCATCAATTGGGGAATGGCTGAACAAGTCATGGTATATGAATATAAGGGAATACTATTGTGCTTTAAGAAATGATGAACAGGCTGACTTCAGAAAAACCTGGAAAGACTTGTATGGTCTGATGCTGAGTGAAGTGAGCAGAACCAGGAGAACGTTATACACGATAACAGCCATGTTGTGCGATGACTAACATTGATAGACTCAGCCATTCTCAGCAATGTGATCTAAGACATCTCCAAAGGTCTCATGATGGAAAATCTTATCCACATCCAAAGAAATAACTATGGAGTCTGAATGCAGATCGAAGCATATTATTTGCTATTTTTTTCTTCTGTTTTGTTTTCTTTTTTCTTTCTTGTGGTTCCTCCTATTGGTTCTAATTCTTCCTTACAACATCACTAATGTGAAAATGTGTTTAATAGGAATGTATATGTATAGCCATTGTGTGCTGTCTTGGGGAGGGAAGCGGGGAGGGAGGGGGAGAAAAATTTAAAACTCAAAAGCATATGGAAGTGATTGTTCATAAATCAAAATAAATTTAAAAAAAAAAAAGGAAAGAGAAAGTATCCTCACATGTGTGTAGTCCTGAGATTCAGGGGATGACTGAGTCACCAGGAGACACCAGAACTTCCTCAAGAACTCTCCAGGGCCATGTATGGCATATATGCTTCCAGAATTAGAAGGTCTAAGTTTGGGCAGCAGTTGGGAATTAGATAAAGTGGTAATTTTCCTGCATTCTCTATTTCTTAGCTTTCCAATCTTTGGCAGATTCCCTTAGTTTTGAACTCTGGCCAACCACACCTCATCTTGGCATCCTGGGGGTTAGTATCCTGCAGTCTTTCTGGGAATGGACCTGCTTGGCCACCTTCTATTTCCTGTCTTATTCCTCTTTAGACGTGGAGAGGAATATCCTTCTCTCTCCTGCCTTTGCCCCTGCCCTAGGGATTTCCATATCTATGACAAGTTCTGGTCTTTCTTTCCCTAGGGTATGAACATATATACCAATGGTGCCCAGATTCAACTTACCATGTGACTCCTCTAAGGATGACCATTGGGTAGAATTCACTATTACACAAAAAATTGTTTTGACTTTTTAAAAAAATCTTGAATCTACTCTGTAATGATATAATACAGAAAATGGGGTAGGATTTAACAGGTGCGTGATAAATGTTTATTGATTAATCTGATTTACCAATTCTGTTTCCTCTCTTTTTTCTTGTCTGGTGACTGCACAACTATATGTATCCATGTTTGCTTTCAGAAGTAATGCCTAGAAATAAAAACAAGAATGTATATAAACATATATTATTATTTATCTCTATATAACTATAATATACTAACACGTTTAAGTATTGGAAATAATGAAAAATATAAATGAACCAATGTAGCAAAATTAAAAGGGATAGAATTCTAGCTCTGGTTGGCTCTTTACATCATCCTGCTTGCCATGGCAGACTCAACTGAAAGGTGGAATTGTTAGTAGATCTTTGGCTTCTTTGATCAAGGAGCAGTAATTACCACACTCAGGGCTTCATCAGATATCATTTCTAATAAATGCATTACACATTTTAATGTGCTATATATCTGGGGCACTATTATTTTTGCCTGGAATTTTCAGTAGGGGAGATAAGAGTAGGGCCATATGAATAACATTGGACTTGCCATCCTAAAACCTGATTTTGGGGCCCAGGTCTGCCACAATTCAGTTGCTTCTGTACTCAGGTAATAAATCCAGTGGAGATGTGAAGGTGCCTATGGAGGACACCAGTCTTTTACACTCTGATGTTGCCTGCAGGTAGTGGAAAAAAGCAAATAGAAGAACTTCTGGTCAAAATTATCTTGTCAATTTTAGGTCTGACCATGAAACATCAGTCTCCTGCTCAAAAGTCGTTAGCAATATTAATTCACAGAATTACCGATGTGTAAGGTATCTTAGTGGCCATCAAGTACAACCTATATCTGAGAAAAACCCCACAAAACCCTCTCCTAGAAACTCAACCAAGTATTCATCAAGGCTCTGCTCGAAGACTTCCAGTGAGGAAGATTTCATGACCTCCTGAGGCAGCTCATTCTGTTTTGGTTAGCTCTAATTGTTATACAGGCAGATGAATGGCCTAGTAGATAGGGCACCCAGGCCTAGAGCTGGGAAGACTCATCCTCCTGAGTTAAAATCTGGCCTCAGACACTCACTAGCTCTGTGACCCTGGGCAAGTCACTTAACCCTATTTGCCTCAGTTTCCTCATCTGAGCTGGAAAAAGAAATGGCGAACCACTCCAGGATCTTTGCCAAGAAAACCCCAAATGAGGTCACAAAGAGTCGGACACAACTGAACAACAATTCTATAAAATTTTTCTTGATATCTAGACTAAATTTGCCTCTTTGCACTTTCTGCCCATGGCTCCTAATTCTGCCTTCTGAGGCCAAGTCTAATCCCTCTTCCTTCTAGAAACAGCCCTTTATGTCCCCCATAAATTTCCTGTTTTCCAGGCTAAAACCCCACTAATTCCTTTGAGACCATTTAACATCCTGGTTGCTTACTCTAATTTCTCATTGTCCCTCCTGCCACGTGGTATCCAGAAATGAACATGATACTCCAGAGCATGACCAAAGTGGAGTAGAAAGGGAAGGTCATCTCCTTGTCCCTAGAGGCTATGCTTCTTTCAATGCAGCATTAGCTTTTTTTGGCTTCCATGTGGAACTGGCGGTCTCTCAAGATCTCCAGATATTTAAAAATTTTTTTTCCGATGAATTTTGATCCAGTCACTTTTCCCCCATCTTGTCATTGTGAAGATGGTTATTTGAACCGAAATGTAAAACTTGGCTTATTCGAACCGAAATGTAAAACTTGGCTTATTCGAACCGAAATGTAAAACTTGGCTTATTCTTATTGAATCTCATCTTACTGATCCATCCAGTACTCTATACTGTCAAGATCTTTTTGAATCCTGATTTAGGCATTCAGTGTGTTAGCTCTCCCCCCTAGCTTTGTTTTCTTTGTAAATTTGATATGCATGTCGTCTCTGTCTTTATTTAAGTCATTAAGGCCAAGCACAGATCCCAGGGGCAATCCACTGGAGACTTCCTGCTAAAACTTAGATGTAGGATCATTCAGTGAATGATGAATGAACCATTCATCCACTGAATTCTGCACCTTCACATAGGTGCCAGGCACTGTGCTAAGCACTTTTTTTTTTCACAAATATTATCTCATTTGATCCTCACAGCAACCTGTGAGGTTGTAGTTTGTCCTTCCTTTTGAAGAGGAACAATGACATCACAAGGCAATGTCTTGACTTATGCCTGAACTGCATTTAAGTGACGCAGAGTTGCACAGTCATTAGCCTCACTCTCCTTTCCTGAGTCACTGAAGTCCAGGGTAGGACAAAAGTCAAGATGACTGGCAGTGGCCTGGGATGCAGTGGATGACCTTGGCATCTTCAATGTCTAACAAAGCTCTAAGCACTCCGTAGTGCCTGCTTCATGGCTGTTGGAACAAATTGTTTTCATCTGTCCATTCCTCTGGGGGAAGTCTTGACATGAGTTGGCATCCCCCTAATTCACTGGGTTTGAGGTCTATGGGTACCCTCAACCTGGTTTAGCCCATCTACTGAGACAGTTTACCAAGGCGTGGTTGCTGTGCATGCTACAGCTTCTTAGAGCCATATGTGAGAGTTGAGTGAATAAAGTGGACACCAAAGGTGGATAAGGAGCCCTGAGAATAGGTCAGTAAGCCTTCACACTAGAGGTGCTAGTGCTCCAGAATACTCCATATACCCCACCCTGTGAGGTAAGTGCTGTTATCTCCATTTTACATTTGATGAAATTGTGGCAAGCAGTGGTTAAGTGATTTGCCCAAGGTCACACAGCTAGTCAGTGTCTGAGGTTGGATTTGAACGAAGGTCTTCCTGACTCTAGGCCTAATGCTCTATCCACTGTCTCACTAGCTGCCAATGGTAGCTTATGAATGGACTACTATTTGGGTCCAACTATTCAACCAGATGTGAATCCACTTAATTTTCCTAACATCTGGCCCATATCTTTCCAAACTGTCCATAAGAATAACGATCAGTTCCAATGCCAAAATCTAGGTAAATGACATGTACTGCATCCCCCAATTCTAGTTAAGCAATTCTCTTCACAAAGTAAATAAGATTAGTTGAGCATGAACTGGCCTTGCTGAAGCCATAAGACATTTTCAGACTCTGGGGTAGCGTCTCTTGCCCAAGGGTTCCATAGAAAGCTCTTCACAATGTGACTCCAATGCTACTTGAGTTTCAGTGAAGGGTTTTCTGTGGGTCAGCTCCCACTCAACACTGTGGCTGTCAATCCCCCCATCTGTGTTTAATTAAACCAAAGTAAATTAAACTCAATTTGACTAGCATTTATTAAGTACCTACTAGATGAGAAGCAGCCTGGAACAGTGAATACAGAGATAAGTTGGTAAGTTCTAGGTTGAAGCCCCACCTTTGACACATACTGGCTATGTGACTCTAAACAAATTATTTAATCTCTCAGAGGCCTGGGAAACTAAGCCTACACATTAAAGGGTGGGTGCTACTTTATTCTAGTAGAGAGAGTTTCATCACTGGATGTTCCCTATATCAATGGAATCACAGATCTGGATAATGTTCTGGGAGATTCTGGCAGTAAATACCAAGCTGTCCTACTCCTCCAGAAGCTTATATTCTGCTGACAGAAAATGACATGTACACAAATAATTAAATACAAAGAGGTTGTTTTGGTCAGGGCAGAGCATTAGTAACTGGCAGGATGAGGAGATGCCTTTTGTAAGTGGTAGCACTTAAGCTGAGCTTTTAAGAGGTCGAGGGATTCCAGGAAAGCGGCATGAGGAGAGAGAATATTCCAGGTGACAGGGACAGCCTGGGCAAAGGCACAGAGGTGGGAGACAAGAGTATTGTATATGGGAAAAAATAAGTTAAAAAACTTAGTTGGAATGTGGAGTGTTTGAGGGAGAATAATGGGAAATCTGGAAAAATAGGTTGAAATCAGACTGTGAAGGGCTTTAATGCCACAGAGTTGTTTGTTTTCCTAGAGACAATATGGGGTCACTGAATTTTCTTGAGCAAGCAAACTTCTTAAAGTTCCTTTAAGTTTAAATTCCATTCAATTTAAATTCCTTTAAATTCCTTGAATTTTGTGGTTTTTAGAATGGATATTACTCTAAGGAAGTATGTCAAAGTTGTAGTTTTTAAAGAGCATACTTCTTCGACTGTTAGAGATATTGCTATGGCTATTGGTGTGGGAATGTCAAGCATTTCAAGGATCATTCAAGTCCACAATGAAATGGGATCGGTCATGTCAAAGCAAGGAAAGTGTTGCTGAAAACAAAAAGCAATGCAAAGAATGGAAAAAAATATTGCAGTAAAAGAGCCTAAATGATTCTCAGAAAACATTCAAAGACCTTTTGAGAGATCTGGTGCCTGTCAGGGTTGTATTGGTTCTTCCATAGTGCAGCATAGGCTTCTTAATGTTGGAAGAACAGTGGCAAAACCAGTTAAGAAAAAAAAAAAACCACAACTATAAGCCATTGTTATAAAGAAGAAGCAATTGTTGTTATGGGCAAGAGAGTACTTAAAAACTGGAGAAGTGAAGATTACTAAAAATTTTTATTGATGAAACTCACTTTTTATTCAAGGGCTATACTAAATCATTATCAGAAGTCCAAGTGAGCCTATTACATCTAGGCATCTTTATTAATTCCGCTCCAAAATGTTTTGGGATTGTTTTATTTCCATGGACTAGAATTCTTTCCCATTGACGGAAAAATGATTTCTGGTAAATATATTGATAGACAGAAGTAGAATTTCTCAGGAATCATAGGAATTCCCAAATGGAGATAGATGACTGCAACCCGACCTCAAACCATGCTACCTACCATGAAAAATTAAGAAATTTATTCAAGAAATGGAGATACGTATGCTTCTATGATGGAAAAACAGTCTATTTAAATCCCCCTTAAAAACTATGTGCTATCTATAATGAAGACTGGACTTGGGAGAGCAGACTGTTCGTTAGAGGCACACTGAATAGCCAACGTGATATGTGGTTTCATGACGAAGAACTAAAGACCAAGTGTCAAAACCTTGTAAAGTCAGCGCCGGTCATATACATCAGATAATTGTAGAAAAGAGAGGGCGCTATTTTTGTTAAGACATCAAAGTTTGAAAGGTTTACTATATATGTTAATAGGTTTAATTATTTAACTTTGCAGTCTGAGCTGAGAGATCAGAAGATTGGAATGCAGGGCA